GACTGATTGAACTCCCAGAATTCCCCAGCCATTTTAAGGGGTTATTTTGGGGCCAGAAGGATGAGTGGTCACGAACAATACCTACTGTAGGACACTTTACAGGAAGAAGAAAAGATTTTAACAGCCAGTGTATTTATTAACATTTATTAACATTTCAGCGACTTTCCTTTAATTGTACACAAGCTTAAAAAAATATAAATCTAAGAAAAATAAAATCTATGTTCTAAAAATCCACTCTTTCCAGAGTGGCTCCACATGGGTCTTTGAGGCTGTGAGTACAAGCGATAACCAAGTGAACTTATGAAGTCACTCAAAACAAAGACACAGGTAGTCCTCGACTTACGACCAAGGTCGACCCCAAAATTTTCCGTTTGCTAAGCGAGACCGTGGTTAAGCGAGCTTCGCCCCCATTTTACGACCTTCCTTGCCGCGGTCGTTAAAGGAATCGCTGCAGTCGTTGAGTTCGTAACACGGTTGTTCATTGAATCCGGCTTCCCCCATTGACTTTGCTTACGCCAGAAGGTCGCAAAAGGGGATCACGTGACCCGGGGGGGCAATGCAACCGTCCTAAGTACATGCCAGTTGCCGAGCCTTTGAATTTTGATCATGTGACTATTTGGATGCTGCGACGGTTGTAAGTGTTAAAAACAGTCACAATCCCTTTTTTCCAGTGCCGTTGTAACTTTGAACGGTCGCTAAAGGAACAGTTGTAAGTCGAGGACTGCCTGTACTAGACAATTTTACAAACAAAACACAAATTAGGTGGAAGGAAGAACTTTTAAGGGAGAAAGATGTTTTTCTTGCAGACAAGGTAGGGAAACAAGAGTGGTTCTTCAAGAATAATCAAGTATAAAGAGCTTTTAAGGAGACAGAGTAGGTCCACGGGGTGCCAGAGAAGACTTATCTGTTGTCCCCCACCTCACCCCAAGGTCCACCTTCCCGGAAGTCCACCCCACTGATTCTTCTCCCCTGAATTTGTTCCGTGCTGCTGGGAGCCTCCACACAAGTGTGATGGAACCACTAAGATCAGTGGTTGTTGAGAAGGGACACGTCTGACGCAATCCTCTTGTTTCTACTGGCCTCAGAGTCCTTCCCAGCCCTTTCAAACCATGATTGACTAGCTCTCGGTGGGAAGCCAGAGGGAGGGGTGGCTACCAATAGCCAGGATTAGCTCTCCCACTCGCGTTCAGTTTCCGCCAAACTCAGAAACTGGGATTGACATGGGAAGTGAGTTCGAGGCTTGACACCGGAAACGATGACCGTCAACCGTTTGGCACGGACGTCCCATGCGTGAGAAGTGGAAGAGGGCTTCTAGTACAGGGTTTCCCAACCTTCTCAGCATGGATAATTCCCAGAATTCCCCATCCAGCCCAGTTGAGAAACGGTGGACTCCTGGGTGTCCTCTAAGCTTGGTTGTTTTCTTGCAGACGTTGCACGACCCAACTGGGTAACAACATCAGTGCATGCCCCACTCTCTTTCTAGCACTGATAACGTTACCTAGCTGGGTCATGAAACATCTGCAAGAAAGCCACCCATCTCAGAGAGCACTGAGGACCCCAAAGTCCTCGTCCTCCTTCTCTCTCGTTCTCTTCCTCCTCCTCCTCCTCACTCCACACACACCCTGCCTTCTAGCACTGAGGATGTTACCTAGCTGGGTCATGAAACATCTCCTAGTAAACCATGAAGCTCAGAAAGCACCAAGGACCCCACAATTCAACAACGAAAGGTTGAGAAACTCTGTTCTACTAAATCAGACACCACATTCCCCCAAGCATCTTGTACTCTCCAATATTTTGGGGTACAACTCCTCAAATCGTTTGCTCTGGACTTCAGCCATTGGGCGTGGAGCTTCAGCATAATCTGGAGACTTACACTCGGCTCAGGGCTGCCTGCAACCACTTGCTCCATCCAATTTGCTCTCTTGGTTCCCTACACAACTGTCGTAATCTTTCCACGAATGTGAAGAAACAGTCTGAGCACAAAAACATCTCTGAAGCTGAAAAGAAGGAGGCACAGAGCTCAAGTAGACACACTACCCTTGCTTGAAACAGACCATGATTAGACTAAGAAATGTAGATATGCAGACATATGCAGAACGCACAACGCAGACACACAGTGATGGGTCCGTTCAGCTGTCTATAACTGACACCTTTGGAAATGATCACAAAATCATCACAAAATATTTGTATTTCTCAGAGCTGGGTGCCTTATGGGTAGTCCTCAAGTCACGACCGCGATTGGGATCACAATGCCTGTCAGTACACAACGTGGTCTTAAGTGAGCTGCACCCAATTAGACAACCGTTTCTGGCATGCGGTTAAGCGAACCACAAGGTCATTAAGTGGATCACACCGTTGTTCAGCAAATCGGCTTCTCCCTTTGTCTTTGCTCGTCACTGGGCCCACTGGGAAGGTCGCAAGCGGTGATCACGTGACCCCAGGATGCTGCAGCCATCATAACACCAGTGGCCGAGAGTCTGTTTTTTGATCAAGTGATCCTGGGATGCTGCACCAGTTGTAAGTGCAAGGATTGGTCGTAAACAGTGGTGGGATTCAACCGGTTCACATCACTTCAGCAGAACCGGTAGCTAATTTGTTGTTGCCCAGGCCTAGAATGGACTTCTGGAAGCAGCATCCACATAGAGAACCGGTTGTTCACATATTTGAATCCCACCATTGGATGGATAGATAGATAGATAGATAGATAGACAGACAGACAGACAGACAGACAGACAGACAGACAGACAGACAGACAGACAGACAGACAGACAGACAGACAGACGGG